ATATGGATTATATTCATAACATAACTTTTGAAGTGTCAAAAAAGTAGTTGCGTAGCTGTCAACAGAATTCTCTCAGATTTCATCAAAAAGATCTTCATTTGTGTTATGAAGATGAACGAAAGTCTTACAGGTTTGGAACGACATGAGGATGAGTAATTAATGACAGAATTTCCATTTTGGGGTGAACTATCCCTTTAAGGCCATAATAACACATTGCCTATAAGTTAATGTATACATGCTTAAAAATATTTAAAGTCAATGACAAATGTATTTTGTTTGACTTTATAGCTCATTTAGTGAATGACCCCGAGGGCAGAGGCTAACGGATTTTGGAAATGATCTTCACCACACTCCGGAGAACATCAGGATATCATATACAGTGACAACTATAAAACAATATTGCAATCTAATATTTATAAAATGAAGATCGAGAGTCTTATTAAAAGATTTTTGTTACTGTTCATTTAAAAAAAATCAACAATAAACACTTAAACTGATGTATTTATTGCCCCTGTTTTATGAGTGATATCATGCAATTCTGACATCATTGGATGGTTGTTTAATATGTCAGCACCAGAGGGAGACATTCAGAAGCATTTGAAAACTTCAGGATGGACCCTGCAACAACACACAATGTAACATGATCTTAGATTATTTGTATTTATTTATTTTAGTTTGATTAACGTTTGGCAAGGTCACGCGTTTGATTCCTCGAGAATGCATTAAAGGGACACTATGCAGCTTTTTTAGCTTAACTGAACAGCTTCAGAGTTATTGAAATGGTTATATAACTTCTTTCGGGTTGAATGGTGGGCGTCTCGACCCCCCCTGGTGCCTGTGAGCGAAAAAATCTCACTTGCAACTTCGGTGCGGCGGGCCGCGTCAGGAAGTATCGCGTGATATCAGCTCTCGCGATGTAACATATTCCTTTACGGCAACTGCACACATACACACAGGAACAAGGTATAGATGGATGGAGTTTGTCACACTATCGTCATGGCTGAGCCGGCATATAAGATGCAGAAAGCTAGGAAAGCATTGTCGGAGGAACAGAGAAAGAGGAAACGGCAGACTGACCGAGCGAGGAGTCGGACACGAGCATAGGCATAATTTGCTGGTGTGTTATGTCCCCATTGAAACTTCTCGCGGCACGGATGTAACGTTACCATTACAAACAAATAAAACATCTCCAGGTAACTCTAGTAGTGCATTCATTTCATTCGTTTGTTAAATAAGAGGCGATCTGAAATGTGTTAGTTTTGAAATCAAGTGACCAAAGTGCTCGTTGCCTCTGCGATCAGTGGTGCAGATAAGTTACAGTGTTCTGTTGTGACGCGCGCCTGAATCCGTTGCGGGGACTGAGAGACTCTCTATATTTTGTAATGGTGAAATCACAAAATCTAATGCACAAAAAACATGTCCCTGCTTGAAATACAACCACTAATAAACAATCGGTTTTGATGAGGAAAATAAACTATACTACTACTGATTAGAACCCAGAACCTCTGACACACTTGGCAAAAGTTCTGCCTCTGGACCAATAAAATTGTCGGATCTATGTATTTAATCACGTGAAAATTCTCACCACTAACAACATATATTATATCTCATTAAACGACAAATTAAACACAATGTACTATTGTATACTATGTAACAGGGCATGTCAAGCTCTGAGTGAGTGGTATTTACGACAGTAACATTAAATTCAAGTACTCCACAGTAACTCTAGGGGTCGCTGTTTGACAAAAACGGGATTTCTGCATAATGCCCCTTTAACTAATGAATGTATACCTTGAATGCAGTGTGTGGATTCGAGTATGCAATGCAATGTTTTAGATAAAAATATTTGCCAGATGCATAAATGTAAATGATTTGAAACACTTTGCTGGTCAGGAAGAGGTCTGGCAGTTCGAAAGGTCTCGGGTGTCTTTCTGTGCTGTGTTTACTGAAGGATGAAAAGGAAACATCAGTCTGTCCATCTAAAGAACACCTGCATCATCAGGCGGCCGGCTCACAACGCGCCATCTGACCCCGGGAGTGTTCAACTGGATCATGTTGCTCTGCCCTCGAGGCAAATGTGCATGAGAAGTTGAGATGATTATTAGTTGTTTGCTGACAGCAGCTGGTAAAAGCTGACCGACCTTCTGCACCAGCTTTTTGAGTTCCAAACACACAAATTCTACACTCTTTGAAAAAAGGTTCTATTTAGAATCTTAAAGGGTTTTTAAAGACGCTTCATATAGAACAATTTAGGGGTTTCTAATGGGATCAATTACATTTTATGAATTAAGCAGCTCGTAAACAACTTAATCACTAGGAAAAAAGAAATAACCTGTTAAACATGAAAGTATTATGCAATAATTTAAGACATTTCTCCTTATATAGAACCTTTTTTGGCATCTTTGAAATTGAGCCAAGACCCAGAGGGTTCTATTTAGAACATCATTGAACCTTTTTTTTATATTGTTTATTTTTACATTTTACATGCGTTACATGAAGTAAAAAAGCAACCAGACCAAATGTAGTGGAATGTGTCAAGCACACTGGGGAAACAAATGTAGGATTCACTTCTAAACAACTTTCCTTCCCGAGATTGCAAGCAAATTTCGCAAATAATTACAAAGAAACTAGCCTGGTTAAAACCAGACCATTCTCAGTTGTAACGGAGTTATTATGGTCTGGCAAAGCGTCATAGACAAATCATTTCCAGAGGGGCGTCACCAACGGACGTCGCGGATAGACCTAAACCCAATCAGAGCGATGAAGGAGATGACGTATGCAGAGCGGTGGAGAAACATCTCCGAGAGTTGTTCTTTGCTCGGTTTTTAACTAAAAGGAAACGTTCAAATCGCTTAAAACAGACGCGATAGCTGATTCGAACGAGTGATGTTCGACGGCGGCATCCATCTTTGTAATGTAGGCTACAAAATCTGCTTCAAAATCCCAGCGCTGTCGTCATCGTGTAAAGCCCGCCCCAACGTTTCTGATTGGTGCCGTGATTTCGACGGATTGGAAATGGGCTTGAATGAGCTCTTTGCCAGACTAACTTTCAGAGCAAATCTAAATTAGCCAGAAGTTGTCTGGGTTTTCCTAGGCTACAATGAAACGGCAATCAACACTTGAAGTTTTGAAGTAGAAAGACTGAAATAGTATTGTCTTGCAATATGTACTCCAATAATCTGTTTTATTTACAAATTTCAAAAAATCATTGTACAGTCAGAAATCATAATGATAGTTTTTATTGTACTCAAATTATTTAATTTAATTTAAAAATGTCTAATGCTAAAAAACAGTGAAAATAGTGTCACATTTATTTGCTGTTAATTATTAATCCTGATATTAAGAATAAAAACATATAATCTAATGAGTGTTCGACTCATGTCCCATAACACATTTGGCTTCTGTTTACTGGGCTGAGGTGTTTCTGTGGGAGCGTGATGCGTTTCAGCACAGTGCTGATCCAGCTATCCCGTGTCATGTGACCCCGCTGGCCAGAACACACTGGATAACAAGAGGCCGCTGACACCGCCGTGGGATTGAGACCCAACACTATATATAGCACGAATGAGTGCTGAAGCTACATATCCAAATACATCATCTCTCTGGCCTGAAGATGAAGCGGGTCGGGGAGGGAGACTTTAATCTCAATATCCTCCTATCATTTCCAGTTCACCCATATCTTATTTGGTCTATAAAGCAGGGGCATAGAATTTAGTAGGGACGCTAGGGATGTCCCTTCCAATATCCAGTGACACTGATATATCCCTAGCAATAATTTCGATCAAAACTTAAAATATATTTATATATTGATGTCCCCGTCCACACCAATTTCAAAATCAAACCTACGCCACTGCATAAAGTATAAGTATAACTTTAAAAGTCAATGTGAAACCTCATTTTACTTCCGTAATATTATGTGTTTCTGATTAAAATTAGGTTTAAAAAAAAAAAATATGGTTGGATTTTTGAAAAGTGATGAATTGATTGGCTAATAAAAGAGCAAGTTATGACTTTTTATTAAATTACATAAATATGGTTTTATTCAAATTTAATTATAACTTTAAATTTCTTGTTCAATTGTATTTACACATATAGAACATACATTTTTTAGCTTTCACAAAGAGAGTACTACTTTATTATTATTATTATTATTGTTATTATAATTATTGTGATTACTCAATGTTGGGGCGGGAAATATTGGTTAGTTTTGCAGTTCCATTCGGTGACGCTATTGGTGCAAAATTGTCTAATTTCAACTTTAAAGCCTTTAAAAACACATTGAGCTTACATGTATGAATGGTGCTTTATAAATGCAGTTTATTATTTAATTAGGACAAGTTCATCAAAACATTTAATTCCAAATTAGTGTCCTTTGAATTTGTAAAACATTTGACAACTCATAAATACATTAAAAAAAACCTCCAAAAGTTGTTATAAAAATGAAGACCTTTATCATTGTTTTCATGATCTACTTGCAGAGGAAAACACTAAGCACCAAAAAATATTCATATTTACATATTCAGTATGTCCATGTCCAGTGATTAGTTTTATAGGACCAGTTAAGACTTGAAGACTGTAAACAGTGTGATGCGCTCTAATGATATTTACTGGTTAGTGTCAATATTAACCATTTTTTGCAGAGACATTCAGCCCTGAAATCTTTAGTTATATTTCAACAGCACAAAAATTATATTGAAAAAGTATAAACATGCATAGGTTACAAAATTATGTACATATTCAGCATGTGCGTGGATGCATTAAGTGATTTAAAGGTGCATACATTGAATGTGATTGTCTGTAAAACATTGATTTTCAAACTTTTGTTCAAGCCCTGCCATCTACCTCTCTCTTTTGATATTGTATAAGCATATTCATGCAGACGGAGGAGAAGTGATGTCAGTCTGAGTCTGTCCTGGTCTTGGTTTCATACTAAACCCTCTGTTCAGGTCATCAAACGCGGGCGCACAGTGGACGTCCTTCCTCCAGAGGACAGCAGGACCGAAAAACCGGCATCTTAAACGTTTTTCTAAAGAGTAAAAAATAATGATTTTTAAAATCTGTTACTATAGCACAGGTTCATTCTTTTACATTTCATCAATTCATCAAGCGATTACCATTTCTAATCTACTTAATTACATTAATTAATCGCACATCAAACTTGGATGAGGAATTGTTTAAAGTCATTATTGTGTTAAACGAGAAAATCATCAAATAGACATTACAAAAAGTAGCTTTAGAAAAAAAAATATATATATTTATTACACATAAACTTTTTATAAATAAGGAAATATGAAAAAAAAAAATTTATACTATCATTTTTAATGAAATATAACTATGGAATATATGGAATATAACTAATATATATATATATGAGTATAAATATAAACACAAAGTTTTCTATGAGATGTGATTGGTGGGTTTGACAGCACTATATACAGCATATAACAGTGTGTGTAGTGTTAACAGTGTGTTACCGTGCTGAAATGCACAGCGCAGAAGATGGTGATGATGAGGATGCCGATGATGATGGAGGCGATCGACACATAGAGCGCCATCTTCCCTAAGCGCCTCGAACCATCATAATCTCCCTGATCATAACTGTTTCTGGACTATAAAAGAAGAGAAGATACATTACACTTCAGAGACACAAGTTTTTCCCTTGGAGATTTATGTTTTTGAATTTGCCAACTCATCCAGCCACAGCAGAAAATGATCCTAATTCTAGTTTTTAGTTTCATGTACACACAGTTTACTACAATATTAATATTTGATAATATGCGTTAGGGTTTGGATAATAAACATCCAAACTGGAAGAACAAAACATCAGCCTCTTCTTTAGAAACCCTGGCCTAACACTTACGTCTCTGTGATATTCTGCTCTCTAGATAAGGGTGGACCCTTATAAATATAAAGTATATATAGTTTTTTGCCTATTTTATCCTCTGCTAGGTTACAATCGTCTGATTCCTTAAAGGGATATTTCACTTTGAAATTAATTTTTGATATGTTTTAGCTTACCTCAAGGGCATCCAAGATGTAGGTGTCTTTGTTTCCGCAGTAGTTTCAATTTTGATATTTTTAGGTCAAACCGTTCTTGTCTGTCAGTCATATAATGCAGGTCTATGGGGTCCACCTCAAAGAGCATGCACAGAGAAGTCCAAATTAAACATGATTTAATGACTCGTAAATGTAAGTACACATTGATGGCCTACGACACGAAACGAGCGGTTTGTGTGAGAAAACGAACAGTATTTATATCGTTTTTACCTCTTGTAAACACAGCCACGTCCAAGTGATCTGAGGGCGTGGGCGCTTCGGTCTTTTCCGGAAAGTGCCGGAAGTGATCTCTCGCGTGTGTACGTCACTCATTCAATTGTTTTTGTGTTTTTTTGTGTTTTTTTTACGACGGTTTAAACATCCCGGATAAGCACAAATTAGTACCCTTTTAATTAGCCGTCTTACCTACAATCTCTGCTCTGTGTAAACAATGAGTGACGTACACGCGCGAGAGATCACTTCCGGCGCTTTCCGGAAAAGAACAAAGCGCCCACGCCCTCAGATCACTTGGACGTGGCTGTGTTTACAAGAGGTAAAAACTATATAAATACTGTTCGTTTTCTCACACAAACCGCTCGTTTCGTGTCTTAGGCCATCAATGTGTACTTACATTTACGAGTCATTAAATCATGTTTAATTTGGACTTCTCTGTGCATGCTCTTTGAGGTGGTGACCATAGACCTGCATTATATGACTGACAGACAAGAACGGTTTGACCTAAAAATATCAAAATTTAAACTACTGGATGCCCTTGAGGTAAGCTAAAACAAACCAAAAATTAATTTCAAAGTGAACTATCCCTTTAAGGAATAATAACTCAAAGAGATAATGAGTTAAGCATACAAGTTTAATATTTAGAGTCATTACTGATTATTAAGTGTGATCAATAATGATAGTAATACTTGACTTGACATTATCAATATAAAAAAGTTGCTGCAATACATTTTTAAGTACAATCAACTTGGATGATTAAGTCATTTCAACTGAAATGACATAAAACTGGCTTATAAAATGAGTTGAATCTTGTATAACTTGTAAATGTCTTAACTTATTTTGATGAGTTAAAGCAATGTCAAGACATGTGACTTATTGATGGTGCAATACGTGTCGGTATGAACTCACCATGACGGAGAACACCAGGGCTAGGATGTTGACGGGGTAAGCAGGACAGAAGCAGGTGAGGATGGTCAGGACCAGGTAATTACGTAGAGGAGGTCGTGGGGTCGTCGGACCGAACCACTGGTGATACAAATCCATACTCCCGTTCAGAGAGCCTTTCACATCCGTCTGTGAGCCGGCCGGAGCCATGATGGCAGGCCAACACTCCTGATAACGGGCAAATGTCCACCAAAAAAAACGACTTTTACAGAGAAAGCAGTTCAAAACTGAGTTAACAGAGGAATGAATCCAGTAGAGCTGTGTGTGGGCTGTGGGAATCAAGATGAAATGAGGAGTGTTTTGGGTGGGAGGGTGTTTGGGCAAGAGGAACCTGTGAGTAATGGGATCGCAGGGGAGATGAGACAAAAATATGGGCGACACTTTCCCATGGACAGATTCCAGGTCAGCAAAATCTGTGTGTGTTATTCTCTGATTTTCCGCGGTTGTACTGCCATTTCACCTCTAATAGATTAGCAAATCAATCTGTAAAATGACACCAGGACGGTCCCGTCAAACTAAACTAATAATAGGGTCAAATGCAGAAATGGTGATGAAACTGGTGTGTGTGTGTGTGTGTGCAGTTCCGCATGGGTGGTCGTGTGGTATTGGGGTCACAGGGTATCAGGTGTGTGTTATGGGACAGAGATGGACATATCGGTGCAGGAGGGGGCAGCTCACACACGTCTGTTCCCATGCCTCGAAGTTTTGGATGGCGTCTCACTTGTTTGCTTATGACAACCTGGAATGCTGCCTCACGGACACGGCCGCATTAACAATAGGGCTAGGCGGGGCTAAAGCCCCGGGGCCCGAGCAAGGAGGGGGCCCGTGATTGGCTGTGGAGTAGATACTAGCCATCTGATTGCCAAAGCCTTACCACACAACGCCCCCCACAAATTAGCCCTGTTATTTAGTGGCGCTTTGCCGTATATACCATGCATTATCATGGAATCATTATCATTAATATTATGACCGTTCGCAAAGACCCGCCTTTTTTAGTTACTGTGTGACAAGCCAGGCGGCTCTCATGAGTCACGCACATCATGTTCTCACTCAAGCAGTGAAAAATACATTGCGGGGCAAAGACTAACGTTACACCGAGTGACTACGAGAGAGAGTTCAGAGCAGCTTACTGTTGATATGAAACAAAGTCTCAACTTTCAAATATTGTCATTTAACTAATAAACAACAGCCTACCGTTTTCAAGTTCAAGTCCAACGACGTTAATCTACTGACAGCTTTGTTGTCGGACAAAATTGCGTATTCGGCGTTATGATTGGCCAGTTCGCCTGTCAATCAAACCCCCGTGGGCAGCAGGGCATGGTGAATTGAAACGTCACGTTTTAATTTGATATACATTTATTCTTATTTAACTTGTGAACGATCTACCTGCTGCTGCACGTAGGCCTATCAGATGGCTGCCTGCGCCTTATTAGAATATACGCATCAACCAATCAATCGCATCCACTCTTCACTTCATTCTAGTCTATTCTTAAAACACATGCGTCATCATCGACCCCACAAATTTTCGGTAAGTTTGATTATTAACTTGATGGATGTATGATATTGCTTTTTGTGTTTGATCAAACTCTATTTTCGCCTAAATGGCCTAAAATATGTACATTTTCCTGCGCCATCATGATGTAAGTTTATAATTTAAACGCATTTTTAAGCATTGTGGTTTGGGTACAAATTATTTTAAACTGCTCAGGCACAGTAAGCAGCGGGAGAGAATTCATTTTGGTTTTGAGACCATGGTGAACTTGAGACGGTTTTGCACAGCGCACTTGAGTTCCGACCCTGAGGTCTTAAAGTGACAGTAGCTGCTAATAAAGCTGCTGTCGCCATTTGTGTCAATAATGTTAATCAAACATCAGAAAGAAAGTAATTTACTGCCCTTGACTGAATCACTTTTGTAAAATTAATAAGAATGAATGTTGAATTTATAGTGAAGACTATGTATTGTTTATTTGATTACTTTATACAATATAATATTATTCAGTGCTTTAAGTTTTTCAAGTAGGTCGATTTCTTATGTGCCTTTGTTCTATTGTTATTTGTGACTCTTGTCATCAGTAAGCTTTAGATTCTTTTCTTAAGCTACTATTATTTTTTGTGATATTGAAATTGGTCACAAGAATTATGAAATTTTAGTGGCATAAAATTTTGATATGATAAAAAATCTTATTAAAAGTAATATAACTTAACTGTGAAGTATATCATAGATGAATAAAATGACTTGTATAATGATGGAACATTTAGCTCATGTAGTTGGTGACCTAAAGTGGTGGTGGGGGGGCCCTGCAGTAACTCATAGCCCCGGGGCCCAGTGAGCTCTTAATGCGGCCCTGCTCACGGACAACGCTGAGTGTTTAGATCTGATAGTTATGAAATGGTTGAAATCTATTGTGAATGTTAAGCCAGCTGAGAAATCACTCACATTTTTGGCTGACATGTTAGAGGGCATTTTTTGGCAATGTGAAATATCTACCTTTCTATTTTTCATTGAAAATGAGTACAACATAAACACCATAACAATGTGGTATGAAACATATTCAGAATTTTAGTGCTTTGTATGATCCTGCTAATTTGTATAAAACAATATGTATTTCAAAAGCCGTACAAAAGTTGAATATTCACAACCAATGTTAAAGACGTTTATCATTTATAGACTAGAACTCAAAGGTTTGGACACTATTTATTGATGAAATGGAATTATATTTATTATAATAGTAATATATATATATCATTTATTTTGGATTTCTGAAATTGAATTGGACTGGATAGTCAGGTAAAAGCAGTCAACATTTTATTAATAATTCTTTCATTTTGATGACTTTACTAATATTCTAAAATAATATATTAATTCTGGCTGTGAACACATTTTTGTTCATGTTCTGTTAATATTACAACCTAAATGTATTTATACATATTTTTTGTTGTATAATATTTCAAAAGATATGCTCAACACTATTTAAAAAAAAAAATATATATATATATTTCTGGATTGGACTGGATAGTTAAGGAAAAGCAGTCAAAAATGTAAATTTTCTCCATAATTCCTAAATTTTGTTGACTAAAATGTTTTCTAAAATAATAATAATATGTGTAATATTATTTCAACAATTTTATATTCCATTTTTATTTATGAAATATTTCAATGTTCAGGATTTACAATATTGTAGAATAAAGGGAACATTATATGAGTGTTGTGAAAAACTACATACACTATTCAACTGTAAACATGATATTTTAGATTTAGATTACAAAGTGAGATTCATAAGAGCACAATCCATTCTGCATTCGACCAAAACATGACAATCTCTGCGAATCCACAAAGAAAAACATGAATACAGATGCCATCAAATGGAATGTTTTAAAATAATTTATTAGGATCTTTTTTATTTGAAAATTTCCAGAGGTGAAAATTAAAAAAATACAGTAAAGGGACAGCGGAGCAGCGTAAATCGAGCATCAGGTCACAGTGTTGCTTTCCAGTTCTGCTGCTGATCCCCAAGCCCCGCCCCTTTTACAAATCATCCAAACAAAACACGGACTGTAAAAATCTCAGAAGCTTTCAAAGGGGTTAAAACGGATCTTGAAAAATAGAACTTTTTTTTTTCTGAAAAATAATTCTTAATGCCACATAATCGCCGCCGTATTCGTACCACCGCTAACGGCGTTCATTATTACTTGAGTTTTAAAAATAACTTATTGCTTTTTGTTGGTTAAATAGTTACAGTGTGTGCCGTGCAGTAGTTTTGTGAGGCGTCCCTGTCAGCTGGAGTTGTACTCGGATCGTCACAGATCGTCCAGAAAGAGGCTACACATGTCAAACGGAAGACTCAATATTATTGCCAATAGGTAGAAATCAATGATCAAATTAAATGAACTCTTAAATCACTCTGGATGCGTATTATTATTAATGTATTTTTCCTCCGTTAGAGCCGTGATGTCACAGACGTCCTCCTCCATTACCGGCAGAGACGAGACAGTTTCAAAGGTGGCAGTTGAATGCATGTAAACTAGCTACGTGTACATCCATACTTCAGTCTACGCTGTGCACACACACTCTCTCCGTCACACACACACACACAACAGGATAGAACCGGAGATGTAACAGCGCTCAGACTCCTTTGCTTAGTAAATGTGTCCTTCATTTCATTACAAACAGCAGTGTACCGTCAAAAAAACAAAGAGAAAGGAGAGGGAAAGTACACTGAAAGAAGTACACCGCGCAACAAAATTATATATATAATATATATTTCCAAAAACAGCATGAAGAAGCCTAGCAGCCGTGCCCTTCCGAATGAGGCTACTAAACTGGTTACGTTCCTCTTCCCTAAAATGGGACCGAATCGTTTGCTCTTTTTGGAAAACCAAACCTGGTTTTTCAGGGATGTGGTTCGACGCCTCGTACGTGACGGCAAACGTTAGAAACGTGGCTTCCGAATTCATGCAAAAACTGAAGCGCTTTGTGCAACCAAAAGAGCCCAAGGAAAAAGTTGTTCCGAAAGAGCGTCAAAACATTTATCTTAGAGAAACTGTCAGTATAAATGGAGTCGAAAGTGAGAGAAGCACAACCAGAGACCCACATCAGTCCAACTCGGTCATGACGCTAATCTCAGAAATACAAGATTCAATGTGAAGAAAGACGTTTGCATGTTAAAAACCCAGAAAGGACCCTCCCCCTCCCCCTCCCCAGTCCACCGCTCATCTGAACCCTCCCAAAATACATGCAATATATACAGTATCTACATAAAAAAGAAGCAGAACGAGCTCCTGTGTAAATCTGAACATGTAGAATGGTTTAACCAACGATTCACGCAGGAAATTCGTAAACGAGGCCCATTGCTTCTCATATAAAAACCAATTTTACGGAAAAAATATCAAACCGATTCAACATTACAAATGCTGTGTAAAAACTACCAAAATATACATTTTTGTCCTGTCGTTTTGTTTTTTTGTCAATTTGATTCATTCTCGTGTCTTTGTTCGGTGTTGTTTGGATTTGTAATGCTTAATAAACATCAAGGAAGACAAATCCTGAACTTTTCTTTCCAGTTGCGTTGCTCCTTCTCTCTCTTTCTCGACATCATCCGTTACAGCATGAGTACAGTAAAAACATCAAAACACAGTCAGCAAAGACATCGTAACAAATGCAGAAAAACTTGTCAAAATAAAAATCCGGAGAAACGGAATTCCTCGCGTGTTTCCCGCACGTATACAATCAAACAATGTTTTTTTTTTTTCTTCGTTTTTTTTTTCTTTCAAAAGACAGACGGCAGCATATCATACACGAGTCGCTGATAAACAGGATACGTCAGGAAGAAAAATACGGGATGAGGAAAAAGAAAAGTGATGTTAGTAGAGAATGGAGGGAAAAGTAAAGATGGGAACCCCAGAGTGGAGTCAGGAGGGAGCGTCCCGTAAGCACGTCACGTGGTCAGCGGCGCTCGTGAGTTTCTTCATCCCGTGCCGGATGCTGATAGGAGGACACCCTCAGTGGTAGCCATTGGTAAAGGCAGTTGCAATCAAAGGGCCCTGGAGGAGAGAAAGAGGGATTTTAAAGGAATGTTCCGGTACGATACAAAACTCGTTGGCCCTGTTCACACCTGGTGTTGAGAAGCGTTTTGGTCGATCGGATCATAAGTGGATGGCGTTAAATGCAGGTGTAAAACATTTTGAGCTTGTCCACACTTCCAGAGGTAGTCGAAAATGCATTCGACCGAATATAACAAATATTATTTACTTCTAATATTTGTTTTAAACACAGTGTTTTTTTTTTTTATAGAGTGTAATGCACTTGGAAGTCTTTGTGGCAAGACATTCCTCATCACATATTGTAATTCTTCTGTACAAAATGTGTTATTTGAGATGTAAAGTTGTTTCTCAACTAGTGCGACGTGACCCAAAATTGAATGACAGGTCTGTTCTTAGCAGGGGTGTTCAGTGATATTTTAGTATCATTTAGATTATTATATTTTGTATTGATAGTTTGAATTAGTTTCATTTCAATTTTAGGTAAATTTTTTTGTCATTTTGTCATTTTCATTAGTTTTTTAAAATATGTGTATATACTTTTTTTATACATTTTTATTTCAGTTTTATTTATTTTAGTACATCAAGTACTAAATGAAAATGAGAAATGTTTATCTGCAACTAGCTGAAATAAAACAAGTTTTTATTTAAAAAATATTTGATTTGATTTCAGTTAACATCTATTTTCTTTCAAGTAAAAAAAAAATCACAAATGTTGCCTTGGCATGTAAAATAAAAAGTGAAATAAAAATAATTTAATGCTAAATGGAAATATATATATTTTTTAAATGACAAAAGCACATGTAAACTGACTAAAATTTAAACTAAAATGTAAATATGACATGAAAAATATATTTAAAAAAAATACTACAATAGTATATAAATAAACTTGAATAATAGCAGGGCAAAAACAATGATAAATGCAAATAATAAAATGCAATAACAATAAAATAGTTGCCAAAGTAAATAATAATGCACTTTTAACGGGGCACATAAATTAATAAAGTATTTATGTACTTTTAAAGAAATAAAACTTCAGAAGTCTTAGAATATACAGCTTAAGTTACATGAACTACTTTTATGATGCTTGTGTCCTTTTTGACCGTAAAGTTAGATTTATAAATGTTTGTGCCTGTACGTCTGACTGTACCTACCCCAAGTCCATGTCCGAACCCCGTGCTGGGGGCGGGGCTTGCCGCACTGATGTAGCTGCTGACTGAGTCCTGATTGGCTGCTGCATAAAGGTCTGCCATTGGCCCAGGGCTGCTGGTGCCCAGGAACCCAGCGGCGCGTGACGGGGTGGAACCTACGGCACCAGTCAACAGACAACACACAGATGTCTCAAACGCTCGGAAGGTACTTCACAAGTGGAAAGAGTTTAACAAATCTTAAAATGTGAAAGTAAAAGATCATACAACAACCATAATAGAGCTGATTTTGCGCACCTCTGACCACCGCTGCAGCTGCGGCCGCTGCCATTGGTCCATAGGCAGTCAGTGGAATGGCTGAAGGACAGAAAGAGACACTTCATTCAGATGACAGTGTAATGTTCTGGGGGTATGTTCCTTTAAGACCCATGTTTGAAGTTTCCCCCGGAGCGATTCTCTATTCTTTGTGCGTTTCGCTCTTAATTAAATATATTCGTCGTTCAAGGTAACCCGTGTCGAGTGCATCCTTACAACACAGTAGGTTACACCAGGAAGCCACACAAACACATGCAGGTGTCAGTCACACCCTACTTCAATATCCTATTTTACTTAGAAATACATCGGAAGGTAATAACTTTCTCCATTTCTGACTGTTCTGCTAAAGTGTAACCATTGTCACATGGACAGGAGCTAATGTTGTATTTTTTCATGATCTAGTCAAATTCCAATGGCTAAAATCAAGTCCTGCCTATATTATGTATTATGAAACACTGAATATTCAGTTTCACTCAGAAGTGTTACATTACAGAAGTTATATATATATTTTGCTCAAAAATACAGTGAAAACAGTAATATTGTGAAATATTATTGCCTTTAAAAAGAACTGTTTTCTATGTAAATATATTTTTTTTAATGTAATTTATTTCTGTGATCAAAGCTGAATTTTCAGCATCATTACTCCAGTCTTCAGTGTCACATGATCCTTCAGAAATCACTCTAATATGATGATTTGCTGCTCAAGAAACATTTCTGATTATTATCAATGTTGAAAACAGCTGTAGAAAGCGTGATACATCTTTTTTTAGGATTCTTTGATGATTAGAAAGTTCAAAAGAACAGCATGTATTTGAAACAGAAATCTTTTATGACATTATAAATGTCAGTTTTTATCAATTTAATGCATCCTTGCAAAAAACAAAACAAAAAAAAGTATTAAGTTGCTCAAGTTTTGAACGGTACTGTATATATGCACCATTTGCACGCTGACAGTTACACCTTTAAATATTTCTCTGTTTAGGCATTACGGCATGTTAACCTCTGGCTCAACCAATGGCGTTAGTTTGAGGAAACTTGTTTGAAAACACACATTATTTTTGCCTTATTTGGTGGCAGTGCAGAAATGAAACCCAGCAGCTCTGCCTTGGGCTGCAGGCAACAATCTTTAATAGTAACAAAGGAGAACAGTGTGTGTGTGTGTGTGTGTGTGTGTGTGTGTGTGTTTGTGTGTGTGTAAAGTCAGATGAGAACTAACCTGTGATCTCTTGGGGGTGAGAGGAAGTCAGAAGGGGTGTCCGTTCTAAATGGAATTCTAGAACACAAACGGCAAAAGAGTGGTTTGTGAATAACCTCAGTGTAAACAAGCCCAGAGCTAAAACACCAACACGCACACACGGCAAAAAAATGATTTATTAGTATTTCCCCAGTATATATATTTTAGTTTTCCAGTAGAAATATAACAATTTCAAGATACAGTTACTTCTGATGCAAAATGACATATTAAGACTTGTTTTCTGAAAAATATTTTAAAATTACAGTAAAGGGGTCCTTCACTGCTGGCAAAATGGGTTTTCAATAAAACTTGCCTATGGAGCAGAAAGGCAAATGCATTTTTGAAATCAGTGCTACCTGACTAGAGAAAACACTGTTGTCTTTCCTCTCGCCAATTAGATAGGAAAACTTCAACACCCATAATGCACTGGGCATGTTGCCATCCATGGCCACTCTGCCATAGATAGGGTGAATTCAGGTTGATTGAGAAACTTTTTCCAAGTCATCTTAATGGCAATCACCCTGAATTCACCCTATGCTTAAAGGGTTATTTCACCCAAAAATTAAAATTCTGTCATTAATTATTCACGTTGCTCCATGTGACTCCAGTGGTTTAACTTGAGTGCTTTGTTTGCGCAAAAAAACATAATTGACCACTTTATTTACAAAATATTAATATATGACACGCGTTCACACAACAACGTCAACAAAACACGCATGGGTCGTGGTGGTCTTGTGCACGTTGGAGACTAATATTTTGTAAATAAAAACTTCTCTTTTTTTTGCGCAAACAAAGCAATCGCGTCACTTTATAAAACTAAGGTTAAACCACTGGAGTCACATGGAGTTCTGTTAATAACCCTCTGATGATCCGACCGTCCGTGAGCGGGGGTGCAGAAATGCAGAAGTGTAATCGACGAAAGACCCGGAGCCGTCAAAAGACTTTTGCTGACAAATAAATGTGAATTTCTCAGTCCAGGTAACACAGAGAACGAGTGAATATTGCTCATTTACACAGACTACCGACACTGCAACAATACAAAGCGGCTTTAAGTCTCACTTTATGTTATCTGCCAGTGCGGTAAGAAATAGAAAGTTAATTCAAAAGAAAACCTTCAGCAAAATCTCACTTAATTGATACATTTACAGAAAACAAAACTTATTTGATTTTGCTTCTCAAGTAAATGTATCCTGATTTAGGAATGTTTCGATATTTGCACTGGAAAACGAGATACAAATCCTGAGGAAGAACATTGTTTTGCAGTGCACATGTAGTCCTATCTACACAAACACACTGACGTTCACCGTGAAAGGAGGTTTTCAGAGGAGAGACAGTCTATGCACACAGAAACACACGCAGGGAAGAGACTTACAGCCAGGTGAAGCTGATACACAGGAGGAAAGGAAGGGGACAGATTGAGGTGCGGAAGGACACGAGGGACAAAAAAGCACAAGGAAGAGAGAGAAACGGGAGGATGTCGTTAAATCGCTGATCTTCAGTTTTGGAGTGTTAGACATGGAGCGAAAAACTTGAAGGTAACGCACAAAGGTTAGTATTAGAGCTAGGCAGTGTGATGGTCTCATGCAGCAATACAGAGTTTGCAATGCCAAGCTTAGAAACATTTGCAAGTCGATCATCAAGTCGAAGAGAGTAGTTGTTTACAGGTGCGATGTCACATTGTTTAGATTATCATAGGTTTTATGATATTAATTTGACTTTTTTGAGACTTTTGATTCATAATTTGAAGCTGTTTTTGCACTGATCTTAGGCTGATCATTAATTTGTTATGAATATATTTTTTTGGTTTGCATGCATCAAGACAACAAGACAATAATCAAATGAGAAGTTCCTTTCATTTGTAAAGTTTTTAATTCACTGGATTTTATATATATATATATAGTAGTGGTCAAAAATAATGTCTGTATATTTTTGTTATTTATTTATTTATTTATTATTATATGTATATATTATATATAAATGATTTGACAAAAAAACACATCTACAAGTTTTATTTTATCCGACAACAAAAAAATGCATTGAAAAACAAAAAACTTCCAGGAAAAATCTGCTGTTATCATATATATATTAGGGCTGTCTAATGATTAATCGTGATTAATCACATCCAAAATAAAAGTTTTTTTTACATAATATATGTGGGTGCACTGTGTATAATTATTTTATATATATAAATACACACACATGCATGTATATTTAAGAAAAAAAAATTATTTATATATAAAATATTTATATTTATATATAATATAAATTATATATAAATCTATATACAGTATATACATGAAAATATTTCTTAAATATATACAAGCATGTGTGTGTATTTATATATATAAAATAATTATACACAGTGCACCCACATATATTATGTAAAAAAAACTTTTATTTTGGATGTGATTAATCATTTGACAGCCCTAATATATATATATATGTGTGTGTGTGTGTGTGTGTATATATATATAGTCTTATATAACAGGTTATAGCTAAAAGCGCTATCAAATTAGTTTAATAGTCAATCAAATTGTTCAATAAATGAACCCACAAGAGGCAAAGGATCATTTTAATGGCAGCGACAGGTAGTCGACAATTGTCAATTATTGTCAATGCCATTCGGGAAAAAGGTTATGTTACTGATCAAGTGTGATTTCTGCTGTTCCCGTTTAATCAGAGGAACCATGCAAAGCTTCTTTTACTGACGTCACGCTGAGAAACAGATGGAAATATTTCTTTCTCTTTGAAATGTCTTGTGGGATAGCATGGCAAAAAAGCCTAATCTACTGCTGAAATCTACAAGCAGCTTTAAAAACTACTGTGTTTTTGAGTGTGTTTTGATCAAATCCATAAAAAAATGTGCAATTATCAGATCAGAGGGAAAAATTGTTAATTTCTCTGGGTTTGTAATGTATTAAATTATGCATGTTGACATTGCAGTGGATGACTGGCTCTGTGACGGTTCTGCACAGATAGAAACGAGGGAAGGAGGACTGACCTGGGAACTGGTACGTGTATCCTGGTGTGATTCCTGTGTAGCCACGGCTGGCGTAGGTGGCCGCCTGGAACCCTGGGTAACCTGAAAATCAAGAGACCAGGCAAGTTTATTCATATAGCACATTTACAATAAGCTTCCATTTGTTAACATTAGTTAACTAAATGAACTAACAATAAAGAATACTTCTATAGCATTTATTCATCTTTGTTAATGTTAGTTTCAACATTTACTAATACATTATTAAAGTCAAAAGTTAAGTATCTGGTAATGTTATTTAACGTGATCTAAAAATGAACAAAACTGCAACAAATGTATTTCTCTTTGATATTTAATGGGACGTCATTGTAAAGTGTTACCAGCTTATTTCATACAAACAAAGAAGAAGAAAACAGAAGAATAGGTTATCTTTTCTTCCACAGTTACTAATGAAAATGACAATTAAGTCATTTTTGCTCAATGTCTTTTAATCAAGTAGTGTTTTTAGTGGACGTGTTAAATTAGTTTAATATTTTACTACAATATTTGTTACTAATTCAGAATTTAATTCTCTATTTATTTACTTTATCTACTTATTTACTAATTTATCCAGTTTTTTCCAGCAGGAAGAAATTTTTAATGTTGTGTATTTGTTTTAGAGTCTATTAAATTATTAACTGTAAATGAATTTTCTGAATAAAACCCCGTTTTAACTGTTGTAAAATAACATTTGATGTAATTTGCGATGTTTATTTTGTACATTAACCCAGCCTACACACAGCCAAAATTGCAGCTTCCTTTTCACAATAAAGTATAAAAATAAAATATATACTAAAATCTTGCATAACGTGACATTTGTTGCTCTGATTTGTGGCAAACTCACAGTCACGCAGTGCAGTTTCCTATTGTAAACAGCAGGTGGCGCCGAACGCTCATCAGACAGGACTGATTTACTCATGTGTGCGCGAGTTCACTGAAATGATTTGCGTTTTCCATCTTTCGACTCACCCAGCATGCCTATCCCCAGCATGAAGGCGTCCATGCCGTAGGGCATCACCCTGGAGCGGCCTCGCGCCGTACCTGTCGGTGACATCACTTCCTTCGGCTGCGCCTTCTTGCACTCCACCTTAAAACAGAGCCGAAGACAGTCATCACACACAGGAATAGTGTCCTTCAAGTCTCCTTTATTTCTATAGCGCTTTATACAATACAGATCGTTTCAAGGCAGCTTCACAAGTAAATAACAGAATCGATGATGCAAACTTTAACAAATATGACAATAATGAATAGCGTCATCAGCACAATGTAGTTCAATGTTGGTTTAATTAAGTTCAATTATGAAACGTGCTCAATTCCAGCTATAAGCAGCTCTACAGAAGACAACAGTGTCATTATTCAGTGTGAGTCAGTTCAATGATGATTCAATTCGGGTCAACGTCAGTGTCAATGTCGCAAAATTCTTCAAAAATGAAACAAATTTGATTCAGTTGTAAAGCAGCTCTATAGAAGACAAGAGGTTCATTATCCAGCTCAAGTTTTGGTCTAATCTGATAGAGTCAGTGTATTCAAATCGACATTATTACTGAATATGGAGTGTCTTTTAAACCTTTACAAAAAGGTGTTTTCACACAGTCTTTCATAGCAGGACACACTCACCATCTTGTTGTTGATCTCATGAAAGTGGATCTCGCAGACCTTTTCCACCACGTCTTCATTCTCAAAGGTCACAAAGCCAAAACCTGCAGAGCAAGTACACACGAATCACAAACATGACGCTGCTTTCACAGAATCTAAACATAGAGCATGTTTATTTTGCCCAGTGCAATCCTGGCATCAATTTCCCCCTTTACTTTCTCATTAGCTGTTCTCTCTTTTGTTCTGTTCATATATTCAGCCCATTCTCTCCAGAGATTACCTCTTCACCTGCTGCACTTACATACTCGACCCCGCCCACTCATCTGTCACTCACACTCAGACACAACCACAGACTCCGCCCACCTGCTGTCTATCCCAGGTGCATGACGGTTTAACCTCTGAACTACTAACCAGCTCACCAACACCAAAGCCCTATTACCCTACATGACCTTTAGCAAAGCCTCTGAGCCAATAGACATGAGACAATGATGAGAAGAGACGAGAAGAGACAAGATCTCAAATATCACATCAAGTTATGAAAGACCAACCTTTGATCTTTTTTTTTTCTTTAATAAGAGAACCTGTTTGATCTGACTTTATTTTTATTTCTCCAAAAGAAAGCTTAAATGACGCATAACTTTGAGCAAGTTGAGCAACAAATTGAGCAAGTTGAGCAACTTTTGATCACAACATGATCACAAATAAGTTTTTCTAGTTATTTAAAGGGGTGGTTGATTATGATTTCACTTTTTTTTTAACTTTAGTTAGTGTGTAATGTTGCTGTTTGAGCATAAATGGCATCTGCAAAGTTACAATGCTCAAAGTTCAAAGCAAAGGAAGATATTTGCTTTTTTTAAATCATTTTTTAAGGACTACAACAAACGGCTGGAAGGGACTACACGACATTCCTCCCGAGTTAGTGTCATCACTAACCCTAAAATTTACATAAACCCCGCCCCTGGAACACGATTTATAGATTATCGTGACAGAATATGCAAATCAATGACTGGAAGATAACTACACATAAGCTACATAAATTCATCAACTAACCATTCAGAAATGTCCTGTTGCTTCTACATGTTGTCACTTCTTGAGTCTCTCCATCATTGTCTGACTCCGGTTTGAACATAAACGTTGACATTTTCAGTGCATGTCTGTGTGAGGTAAAAGGACATGAGCTGTTGTAGCTCCGCCCCCTGTGCTGAGAGCAGCAGCTCATTTGCATTTAAAGGGACAGACACAAAAACGGTGCGTTTTTGCTCACCCTCAAATTTGAACATGCTATATAAAAATATCTGTGGGGTATTTTGAGCTAAAACTTCACATACACACTGTGGGGACATCAGAGACTAATTTTACATCTTGTGAAAAGGGCATTATACCACCCCTTTAAGCATCTGAGACTAAGTTGATACTTGAAATATAAATGAAATATAAGTCCATTAAGTCTACTGAACTATGAGCTGTGAAAGAGCAACTATTGATCAATTAAATGAGAATTTATTCCGTCTTTTATTTTTTATTTTTAAGTCTTGAGTATTAATTCTCCTAAAATAAAGAGCTTTAAGAGAAACGTCTGAGACGAAGTTGATACCGAAGAATAAGTATAAATAAGAACTTTTGAGCATTAAATTATTCCTCAAATACAAGAGATGAGATGACGAGACGAAACGAGAAGAGACGAAAAGAGAAGAGTAGAGAAGAGACAAGACAAGACGAAACGAGACGAAAAGAGTGGAGACGAGAAGAGACCAGACCAGACGAAAAGAGTGGAGAAGAGACGAGAAGAGTAGAGAAGAGACAAGACGAGACGAAAAGAGACGAGAAGAGTGGAGACGAGAAGAGACCAGACCAGACGAGAAGAGTGGAGACGAGAAGAGTGGAGAAGAGACGAGAAGAGTGGAGAAGAGACGAGAAGAGTGAAGAAGAGACGAGAAGAGACCAGACCAGACGAGAAGAGTGGAGACGAGAAGAGTGGAGAAGAGACGAGAAGAGTGGAGAAGAGACGATGCAAGAAGAGACAAGACTAGACGAGACGAGACTAGAGACCAGACGAAAAGAGTGGAGAAGAGACGAGAAGAGTGGAGAAGAGAAGAGAAGAGTGGAGAAGAGAAGAGAAGAGACGATCCAAGAAGAGACTAGACGAGACGAGACCAGACCAGACCAGACGAAAAGAGTGCAGAAGAGATGAGAAGAGTGGAGAAGAGACGAGAAGAGGCCAGACCAGACGAAAAGAGTGGAGAAGAGATGAGAAGAGTGGAGAAGAGACGAGAAGAGTGGAGAAGAGACGAGAAGAGTGGAGAAGAGAAGAGACGATACAAGAAGAGACAAGACTAGACAAGATGAGAAGAGACCAGACGAAAAGAGTGGAGAAGAGACGAGAAGAGCGGAGAAGAGAAGAGACGATACAAGAAGAGACTAGACTAGACAAGAAGAGAAGAGACCAAACGAAAAGAGAGGAGAGTGGAGAAGAGAAGAGACGAGACAAGACAAGAAGAGACCAGATGAAAAGAGTGGAGAAGAGACGAGAAGAGTGGAGAAGAGAAGAGACGATACAAGAAGAGACCAGACCAGACGAGAAGAGACGAGAAGAGACCAAACGAAAAGAGAGGAGAGTGGAGAAGAGAAGAGTGGAGAAGAGAAGAGACCAAACGAAAAGAGAGGAGAGTGGAGAAGAGAAGAGTGGAGAAGAGAAGAGACCAAACGAAAAGAGAGGAGAGTGGAGAAGAGAAGAGACGAGACAAGACAAGAAGAGACCAGACGAAAAGAGTGGAGAAGAGACGAGAAGAGTGGAGAAGAGAAGAGAAGAGACGATACAAGAAGAGACAAGAAGAGACAAGAAGAGACTAGACTAGACCAGACGAAAAGAGAGAAGAGTGGAGAAGAGAAGAGACGAGACAAGACAAGAAGAGACTAGACGAAAAGAGTGGAGAAGAGACGAGAAGAGTGGAGAAGAGACGAGACGATACAAGAAGAGACAAGAAGAGACTAGACTAGACCAGACGAGAAGAGACTAGACGAAAAGAGTGGAGAAGAGACAAGAAGAGTGGAGAAGAGAAGAGACGATACAAGAAGAGACTAGACGAGACGAGACCAGACGAAAAGAGAGGAGAGTGGAGAAGAGAAGAGACCAGACCAGACGAATAGAGAGGAGAAGAGAAGAGACTAGACTAGACGAGAGGAGAAGAGAGGAGAAGAGAGGGTAACACCAGCTCCTGAATGACTGCAGAAGCATGTACACACTTGACTGTTGTTGTATAATTATATGACTCAACGAGACTTTGAACGCGAGCGTGTGCATTTGGCGTGTGTGCGTGCCTGAATGCCGCCTTACCTCTGTGCCTGTTGGTGGTTTTGTCAAACATTAGCATCGCGTCATCAACCTGCAGACAAAACACACACACACACACACACACAAAAGAGAGGGATGAAACACTCTAAGCCATTACCCAGCATGAGGCTCTATTGTGAAGCTCTGAAGAAACAGAGAGGGGCAGCAGATGGAGGGGTCGAGAGGGAGGAGGGAACAGAGAGAGAGAAAGAGATGGACAGAGAGAAAGAGAAGAAAGACAATATGGATGGAAGAAAAAGAAAGGGGGTGAAATAAAAGAGGGGACTTTGAATACTTTAAAGCACCTTAGGTTAAGCAAACAACACTGTTTGTATCCAGAGCAGTTTTTTCAGTGTATACGGTTCTATAAGATCAGCGGTTCACAACCCAGATGTTACACTGGACATCAAATAACTAACTAAAAGAGTGACTGTGGTACAAAATAAAAGTTCTTCGTGGAACTTCAAAGTTTCTATGATGATTAATTAATTTCTTAATGTTTAATGGTGAAGGAACCTATGCTGAAGTAGGAAATCAGGGTCATTTTATCCCGTTCATTTAAACGATTTTCATTATGCGCATATGATAGGGATTTTTTTTAATCATTTTACATATTTTTCAGAATGAAATAACTAGACAAATACATATTGACAAAATGATAGAAATTTCCATGACTTTTCTAGGTCTTAAAGTTTCCCAAAATCCTGTTTTGTGCGATGATTTATTATTTAAGGATTTTTAAAAATCATTTTACAGATTGCACACACAAGAAGCAATTCGGGCTAATAAAAGAGTGATTTTAGAGTGAAATATAACTAGAGACATTTATTTTCATGACTTTTCCAAGTCTAAAAAATTCCCTAATATCCTCTTGTGTGTGATTACATGAGGAGGATTTTGTTTAAAAATAATAAATTTCCACAAGAAGCAACTCAAGCTGGTAAAATATTTTAGAGCGAAGTATAACTTGACAAAAATATGATTTTTCCAGGTCTTAAAATCCCCTGACATTTCTAGGTTTTAATGACTGTAGTAACCCTAGAAACTGTTTGTGGAGAATAAACAGTGAAACCGGCTCAGACACAAAACGAAGGTGCAAACACATCTCTCTCTCTCTCATTAAACAGACATCGGTGTCCACCGGCCGTAGTTTACACGAACAGCCTGATTCCCTGAATCTCTCAGTCCGCTCCCTCCCGACTTCACAGTTTGTGGGGGTAAATCTTTTCAATAACTCTCTCTGTCCTGTTCCCCCCTTTCTCTTCAAACCCTCTCCAAAGTTTACTATTCCCATGGAGACTCTGCAAAGAATTTCAATTAGAAGAATTGACCCCCTCCCTCGCTTCTCCTTTCATGAATAGAACAGAGAGAGAGAGAGACGAGGAGCTGGATAATGGCTGTTATGAATAGTGCTGGAAGAATAAACTTTGACAAGAGAGAGGAATATGTTTTCAGTGATGAAGCAACGGTCATGGATAACAAATGAAAAGAGAACTTTAAATTCAATTTGCCGTATAAAAATCTATAACTCTCCTACCCATCAACAGACACAATATCATCTAACATAAGACTACACATAATAACATTTGCTGTAGACAGAACTGATTAGACGTTGTACAATCAACCGCTACAATAAAAAACAGTTATGAATAGATTTAAAATCGGTTTGGATGGGCTGTATTTAAAGCCATTATAAAATGGTTCACCTGTTAAATTATAAATTACTGCTTCAGTCGCTCATTTACAGAATAATCTTTGATCATAATGTTGCAACCATAAACAGCTTACAGTTAGGCTAATAAATAATATTATTACTTTATCAAAGATTTGCATATTAGCATCAAGCATCGCTATTACTAAACTGAAGCTGAAGATGTTTATTATATTAAATATATATTGATCTTTCATTAAAAAAATTCTAACCTTTCACTGAAGTAAAACAATTGATAGTAGGGGGAATTATGAATCACATTATGAAATAAATGTTTTTCTCCAATGCATGTTGGCCACAATTACTGGCACTCTTAGAAATGCTTATGAGTAAAATATCTCTGAAGTATATTCCCAATTATATTCACATTTTTGTTTTTAGCAAACCAGGGTGACTAGGAGCATGAAATTATCCAGCCATGACTTCCTCCTCCACAGGAGCATGAATATGACGAAACACAAAGGGCAAATTCCCTTAATCATCCATCACAACGAGTAAAACTAAAGAATATAGTTCTGATGTGCAGCAAAAGATTGTTGAGCTAATGATCGGCGAGGAGGAGAGTTTGCGTGGCCAAAGAGTCTCCAAGGATCACTGCTGGAGAATTGCAGAAAATAGTTGAGTCTTTTGGCAGCAAACACTCAAGATGTGTTTGGTGCACACTGCTGGGATAAAAAACACCCCATGCCCACGGTTAAATATACTGTTGGAACTTTAATGTTGTGGGCCTATTTTTTTGCTGGAGGTCCTGGTTCAGATACATGGCATTATGGATTGTAACAAGTACCAACAGAAAAACAAATCAAAACCTGACCGCTTATGTTAGAAATCTTATAACGGGCCGTGGTTGGATCCTCCATCAGGACAACGATCCAAAACAAACATCAAAATCATCACAAAAAATGTGTCAATGAGCACAAAATGAAGCTGCTGCCCTGACCGTCCCAGTTCCAAGACATGAACCCTATAGAAAACTGAAGAGGAGAAGCACAAACATGGATCTGGGAATCTGGAGAGATTCTGTATGGAGGAATGATCTCTGATCTCCTGCCAGGTGTTCTCCAAACTCATCAGGCATTTTAGAAGAAGACTCGGAGCTGTTATCTTGGGAAAAGGACATTGCATTAATTGAGTGCTAATCATTGTGGCCAACGCTATGTGACCAAGAGAAAAAATATTTATTTCATAATGAGATTATTTTTCTATTATATATATATATATATATATATATATATATATCCCAAACATTACAACATTCATATTGATTATTAGGGCTGGGTAAAAAATATAGATTTCTCGATATTAATCGATTCTCATTTTTACGAACCGATATCGATTCTTAAATCTCATGAATCGATTAGTCATCCTGTTTTCATTTGATGAATGAATGGAACATTGTAGCGCGCATCCCATCCAAAAAATCGCATTAATCTTTGTGCTTTGTTACTATTGATACTAAATAAAGTCTCAAATTTCAAATTACGTCCATTTTCTTACGAAATTCAAAAACATAAATACCGTTTTGGCGCTGTGGCGCTGTGGCGTGAGATCGCTCTGGCTCAGCTCAGCTCAAGAGAAGCAGCAGCGCGGAGCAGCGCATGATCTCCTCTTCTGCCTTAATAATACCAGTTACAGCGCGAAATAAACATGAATGAACGTCTGAAAGTGTGTTAAAAGATAGAGTAGCCTACCACTTATCGAAGTCCGTATCATGTCACATGGAATCGCTCAATCAGTGTTTCAACCGTGGAAAGACGTCAGTAAAACGCTTGTAAACAATGTCATGTAACGTCACATTTACCTCAGAAAAACCATGTGACCATAAACTCGTTAGTCAGCTAGAAAAATTAACTCTAAAGAGGAGCATTTTGCTAAATATATGCACCATATTACATAGGCCTATTCATTATAATTTTTAATATTCTTCGATATTTAATTAATAAATCTGGCAAGTTTTTATGACAGCCACCATTTAAATGTTTATATTTCATATAACTTTATTATTATAAAAATAAATAAGTGTAATTTAAGTGTTTGTATAGCTACAAATCAGTTCATTTTTACCTTCAATATTATAGTAGGCTAATGAAGCCTAGTAGGCTACAACTGACTCCCATAGTGTACAGCATTAGTTAAGAGATTTGTTTTCCTTGAGAAAATTTGCCATGTATTGTACCTGATATCCAAAATAATCAATATTGAATCGGAATCGAATCGCAAGCTTGTGAATCGAAATCGAATTGTGAAATTTGTGTCAATACCCAGCTCTATTGATTATAGTAATATTAATATGATTTTGAACTCAATATTGATGTAACTGCATCTAGCGTAACACCACACCTTAACGTTGATAATGACTGTGTGAATTTGTTCACAGTTCATTCCTGCTTTTGATCGTTTGATGAAACTCAACACAACCTGTAACATGAGCATCGTGAAGCAACTGTTAACTGTCTCTTGTCCAGATCTGAGGGCTTATTATTTACTGACTGACGGCTTCCTCTTCAGGATTATACGTCACTTCAGTCTGTGTGTGAGAGCTGTCGGCGGGACGGCACCAGACGAAGCGCTCGAGAGTCACATGACACGCCAACATTTATGTGACCGAGTAGCTCTTTTCAGTGCCACCTGGTTAAATGACCATGGGAAAGGTCAAACACTCTTAGCCTAGATAGGCCGCTGTCAAACACACACTCTTAGACTTGACATTTAACTATAACCCTCTCCTGCCCCCTCCTATTGAAACCTGGTCGTACCCTTCCCTTCATTGAGTCAATCCCACAAACACCCCCTCCCCATCCTCCAAATCCAATGATACTGCAAAGTCAGGAGAAGACCGAGGACCGACAGCTGCTGTGACCATTAGCATTGATGTGTCTGATGTGAAAAATGATCAATGTGATGTTTGTGTTTATGAGTTACTGACAAAGTAAAAATAACTTGTTCTACTCACCCATTAACCATTCCAATAACAGATAAACCGATACTGACAGTCAAATTGTTGGATGATTCAGATGTTTTTGTCCCTAAAAACATTCACACTAGAGCTCCAAACTAGAATCTGACATGAAACCATGGCATCAAAACTTTATATTTATAATGTAAATATGTACTTTTTTAAACTGGGCATTACAAAAAATAAATTCAACTTTTTGCAGATATGCCAAATTACAAATGATAAAAAATAATGCTGCTGATAGTGTCACCAATATATTGTGTATCCCTAAAAGATCTGCATATCAAAATGAAAAGTTTGAGAACTGAATGTGGTGTGGTGTGGTGTTTGCAAAGGTGTGCATTACTATTATTATTGATCAGACTTGAGGTTAGTGATTTAAACA